GAAAAGGGAAAAAACTGAAAGTGAGAGTGACGCAGGCGAGATAGGTGTATCTAGAGAACACCCGGCTATAGGAGATTGTGAAGGCAAAGGGTGTTCTGTAGTTCATACTGTGGGTTGGGTGGTAGCGGGTAGTCGGCTGTAAGAGACTGGGAATATGCATGTTGTGTGAGCCTTTTAGGATTACGTGTATGGGATTCACACACACAACCATATATACGCCTTTGATTATATATATAGTTTCTACTTTTCGTCCTTCTTAGGACGTTACTTTTTGTTATTTGAAGCCCCACTCTGGCTTTTGCCAGGGGCCGCAATATAGGCAGGTCATCATTATGGCCAAATGTCTGAACGCGGTTTCTGGGACCTCTCCACGGTGATCCTCATCCGCATGGTGGCACTTTGTGTCATCGGGTGTTTATCGCTTGTGTGATGTCCTGGTGGGGTAGAAATTCAGTTCAGTTTATATATAGTTTTTGTTAATCTAGTTTCGCCCTTTTCAGGACGAAATTTTTTGTCATTTGAAGCCCTACTCTGGCTTTTGCCAGGGGCAGCAATATAGGCAGGCCATAAATATGGCCAATTGTCTGAACGCGGTTTCTGGGACCTCTCCACGGCGATCCTCAACCACATGGTGGCACTTTGTGTCATCGGGTGTTTATCGTTTGTGTGATGTCCTGGTGGGGTAGAAAGTCAGTCAGTCAGTCATATATAGTTTCGTCAACGCCAATTCTAGGCATCTGTTTTTGTATGCAATTGTTCGTTATTTTGAAGCCCCATCCTGGCTCTTGCCAGAGGGCACAAATAGCCCAGCCATTTTTATTGTCTAATGACTAAACGCGGTTTTTGGGACCGCTCCACGGGTGATCCTTATCCACATGGTGGCACTTTGTGTCATCTGGTGTCTGGCTATATTGCGGCCCCTGGCAAGAGCCAGGGTGGGGGCTTCAAATAACGAAAAATTTCATCCTAAAAAGGATTTGACTTGACTGTCTACCCCACTAGGACATCACACAAGTGATAAACACCCGATGACACAAAGTGCCACCATGTGGTTCAGGATCGCCGTGGAGAGGTCCCAGAAACCGCGTTCAGACAATTGGCCATATTTATGGCCTGCCTATATTGCTGCCCCTGGCAAAACCAGGGTGGGGCTTCAAATAACAAAAAATTTCGTCCTAAAAAGGACGAAAGTAGATAACACCGTCCTAAAAAGGAGGGTGAACAGTATTTTTTTGGATTGGATTGGATTTTTTACCCCACCAGGACATCACACAAGCGATAAACACCCGATGACACAAAGTGCCACCATGCGGATGAGGATCACCGTGGAGAGGTCCCAGAAACCGCGTTCAGACATTTGGCCATAATGATGACCTGCCTATATTGCGGCCCCTGGCAAAAGCCAAGTATTTTTTTTAATACTGTTATATTGTTGAAACTTAAAGTTAGGAACTCCCTTGCTGTTTAGTGTGGGTTAGTACAACTGTTAATCACACTATACTGATATGGACAGCGATAAGACAATCAAAAACCTCAAAACGATGTTTTTTTTTTCCCCAGAAGGAGAATAACTTCTCTCAATTGGGACGATTAAATCTAATAGAAATGCATACATTTGCATCAATTACGGTATTTGAAATGTTAACAATGCAAATTATTTCCCTTTTCTGGGAAAACCGCGTAACACTATCCATGCAAATTATTTCCCTTTGCGACATAACTATGAAACACAACTATGCAAATTATTTCCCTCTGGTGAAAGTATTCATTCCCAACTCTGGGTTTCCTTTTTCTGATTAAGCATGTGTATCCTACGTTTGGCAGGTGTTTTCAGGTGTCCTGTATCCATTTGCAGTAGTTCATGAACGCGTAGTTTATTACGATTAGTTTCAATCCATAATATAACACCATTTTCACGCTAGTTATCGCCCTTGGGAACAAAACGTGACATGCACACACGACTGCATTCTTAAACCTAGCATAAGAATGCCTTACGTCCTTTTTAGGATGCAATTTTTTTTATTTGAAGCCCCACTCTGGCTTTTGCCAGGGGCCGCAATATAGGCAGGCCATCAATATGGCCAATTGTCTGAACGCGGTTTCAGGGACCTCTCCACGGCTATCCTCATCCATATGGTAGCACTTTGTGTCATAGGGTGTTTATCGCTTGTGTGATGTCCTGGTGGGGTAGAAAGTAAGTCGTCAGTCAAAACGTGACATCAGTTATCTCCATTGTAACATGTTTCTCTTGTGATCACCTACAACTTTCTGTGTAACCCCCTTTCCCCCTGCCCCGTCTCTTCGAGTGCATCGTTTTTTCCCTTTTGTCACTCGGCCTCTTCCTCTTTCTTTCTCTTTCCTTTTCTCTCTTGTCTCTGTAAGTTTCTCAACGAATCCGTCTTTCTCTGTCTACTTCTGTAACTGTCATTCACTTCCTTCTTTAACCTCTTTCTTAGTCATGGATCTTTCTCTCCCCTACCGTCTCTCCCCCCCCCCCTCTTTCTCTCTTAACTGATATATCTATTTCTCTCGCCCCTCCTCTCTCTACTTCAATTTCTTTTCTGCCTTCGTATCTCTTCTCTTTCTCGCTCAGTAGATCCTTCTGTTTATCGTTCTTCTCGTATATACCATCGTTTTCCCCTACTTCTGCATGCATCTTTGTCTCTTTCTTTGATACATTTATGTAGACATGTATCTTTCTCTCTTTTTTTTTTGTTCTACCTCTAAACCAAAGTATCTCCCTCTATTTTTATCGATCTTGTAAATCTCTTAAAATATGTCTGTTTCAATATATATTATCTTACTCCTCTCTCTTTCTCTCTCTCTCTCTCTCTCTTCCCCTCTCTCTCTCTCTCTCTCTCTCTCTCTCTCTCTCTAAACCAAAGTATCTTCCTCTCTTTATCGATCTTGTGAATCTCTTAAAATATGTCTGAATCACTATATATTATCTTACTCTTTTCTGTCTCTCTCTCTCTCTCTCTCTCTCTCTCTCTCTCTGTGTGTGTCTCTCTCTCTCTCTCTCTCTCTCTCTCTCTCACGTTCTGTCTTTCTCACACATAGAACTCAAAATTTCTCCAGGTCACCGACCGAAAGTGTGTATACAACATTTATATCTCCCTCCCCCCAACATACACACACACACACAAACCCACACACATCAGCGTGTGGTGGCTCGTGCTTCCACATACTTTTATCTTCCAGCCGCATGCGCTAACCTCAGGCCTGGCACCAGTGTGACGCGCCCGACCTGCACGGGCTGTGGCATGTTTTGTCTCGGGATCTGACGTCACAGAGTTTACGTCATATGTCATTTCATTCATTCATTCATTCATTCATTCATTCATTCATTCATTCATTCATTCATTCATTCATTCATTCATTCATTCATTCATTCATTCATTCATTCACTCATTCTTTTTGTGTTGATTCATTGATTCATCAGTTTTTTTATTCATCCATTCACGAACTCATTTATTTAGAATAAATTACTCATTCCCATTTTTATTCATTCTGTCATTCATTGATTCATTTGCATATTTATTCATTCTTCTGTTCCTTCATTCATTCATAATTGATTATTTGACTTATCCATTTACGAACACATTTAATCATACCAAATCAATTATTCACATATTCATGCAGTAATTCATTTATTATTTCATTCTTTCATTTGTTAACTCCTTTATCAATGTTCTTTCCTTCATTGATTGAATGATTGACTGACTGATTTATTCAGTCATTCATTCCCTGACTGATTGATTAACTGATTGTTTCACTCTTTGTTTCATTCGTCCATCCATCCTTCTATCAATTTATTTATCAATTAATGCATTTAACCACATGATTCTTGTCTTCGGATAACGCATCTTGTGGGATTGCTTAATAACTGACTTCACTTTCCAGTTGTATCTTACCTAAACCGGGAGTACCAGGAGGTTAGCTGGAAAGCAAAGGCGACCGGCACGCTGTTCAACACATCAACAAACGTATAGCGATTGGTTCATGCAATCATCAATCTATTACCCTAAACCGATAGAGCAGTTATCTGAAAGGCCTTGTTTATATACACTTCTGGTTTGAAATATTTAAAAGAAAAAGAAAACCTTGTAACCTTAATTTTGTTTGGTGCGTGGTCTTATGGATAATAATAGAAACACACAAATACGTGCACGTACATTCACACGCACGCGCACGCACGCACACACACGTACGTGATTTGGTAAAGAATAACAGACAGCTAATACGCCCCCCGCTCATCTCTCTGTGACTCTGTCTCCTCCCCTCCCCCTCCATTTCAGTCGGTCTCGCCTGTTTCCTTCTCAACATCACGGCGTTAAAACTGCCTTTTTCCTCATTTTCACTCTCTCTCTCTCTCTCTCTCTCTCTCTCTCTCTCTCTCTCTCTCTCTTTCTCTCTCTCTCTTGCTGTCAATCCCTATGTCTGTCCATTTTCTATATGCGCCTATGTCTTTTCCCTGTCTCAGTTTACCTCTGTCAATCATCTCTGTCTGCCTTCCTATCTCCTTCTTTCTCCCTGTCTACCTTTATACCTCTCTCCCTGTCTGCCCTTTATATCTCTCCTCTCCCCACTCTCTAGCTTGATATATCCCTCCCTCTGTTTACTTTTGTATCCCCTCTTCCCTGTCTACCTCCATACCCCCCCCCTCTCTGTCTACCTTTTTTCAAACCCCTCTCTTTGTCTACCTCCACATCTTCTCTCTCTTTGTCTACCTCCACATCTTCCCTCTCTTTGTCTACCTCCACATCTTCCCTCTCTTTGTCTACCTCCACATCTTCCCTCTCTTTGTCTCCCTCCACATCTTCCCTCTCTTTGTCTACCTTTATATCTCTCCTGCCCATCTCTGTCTACCACTCTATCTCCCTTTAGATCGCTCCCCTCTCCCATACAGAAACTATCATCCCCGGCCGCTCCCCAACAAACAACTCTCAAACACATCCATCACCAGCCACGTAACAACAAACGACACCGCTTCCACTCACCCTAAAGTCGCCTCCATTCCCGTCATCAAGCTCCAGTGTGTAGGCCTCCACGACGCTGCCCATCTGCGGGGCCCAGGCTATAGTTACACTGTTATTTTCACACGAACAGTCCTCGGGAATAATCACTGGTTGTCCGGGAGCTGAAAGAAACACAGTTTAGTTTCACACATACTGCGTACAAGTTTCACAGATTAGTTGTATGTTTTACAAAAAAGCTGCTTGAGTTTCACACATTCTTCATGTATTCCACACATTCTCCGTGTGTTTCACATCTTCTTCTCGTGTTTCACATATTCTCTGTGCGTTCCATATATTCTCCGTGTGTTCCACATATTTTATGCAGGAGTTTCACTTATCAATTTGTCACTTTCGCATAACACGCGTATATTTTTCACACATCAACTGTATGAGTTTTACATATTAGCTGTACTAGTTTCACATATAAGCTACATGAACTTCACATGCTGTCTCTGTGTTTCACATATAAGCTACATGAACTTCACATGCTGTCTCTGTGTTTCACATATTCTATGCTTGAATTTAACATATCAGTTGTTTGTTTCACATAACACGCGTATGAGTCACGCATTAACTGTAGAGTGTCGCATATTTGCTGTATAAGGTTCACATGTCAGCTATCTGGAGTTTCACATGTTCTGTGTAAATGAGATTCACATATCTGTATCAGCATCACAGGTACGTTGCATCAGTTTCACATATTATATTAGGAGCTTCACATAAAACATCTACCAGTTTCACATATTATATTAGGAGCTTCACATAAAACACCTACCAGTTTCACATATCAAATGTACGAGTTTACCATCAGCTGTTAGGGTTTCACATAATCTCTATATCTTCTTCTTCGTGTTCACCAACTGTACATTCTGGCGGAAAGTTCTGGTTGTTCGTCCACTTTTAGACTGCAGTCCTGTTCCAGAACCTGATTGTTTCGTGTGCATCCGTTTTACAGATCTGACTCACTTGTATGTAGACTGCTGGTTCCTTGCCTCGCAGGCAGATGCACTCCGACTTCGAAGGAAGCTCCCAATTAATCGACTCTTACGACATGCTTCTGGGTAGGCAGTGGGTCTATTCTCGTTTTCCCTATAATAGGGATCCGGAACCTACATGAGTTCACATATATGTTGCAAATATTTCACAGATTACATGGATAACTTTCAGATACAAACTGCATAAGTTTGATATATAACCAACAATGTTACTAAATAATAAAGCCACTGGTGTGTTACTGAAGCTCAAGAGAGATGCAAGCAGCAGCACCACTTTAACATGGCATGCGTGTCGTATGAGGCGACACAGAAGGTGTGCAGAAGCCTGATTGCCTCATACCAGATGATTATCATGCATTACTGGCGTTTGCTTAGACATCTCAGGGTTACGACAAGTTATGTTATGTCTGCATGTTTGTATGTGTTCACGTGTGTGTATGTACCACATACATAAACACACATATGTGTGCATGTCTGTATGTGTTCACGTGTGTGTATGTACAAAATACATAAACACACATCTGTGTATGATATGTGTGAGTGTGTGTGTATACATATAGATATATACAAACATACATAAAAACACACATGTGTGTGTGTGAGTGTGTGTGCATGTGTGTGTGTATATATATATACAAACATTATATACATATATACACAAACTTACATAAAAACATATATGTGTATGTGTGAATGTGTGTATGAGTGTTTATATATGTATGTATGTATATATATATATATATATATATATATATATATATATATATATATATATATATATATATATATATATATATATATATACACACACAAACATACATAAAACACATATGTGTATGTGTGAGTGTGTGTATGTGTGTGTAGGTGTGTATATATACACAAACATTATATATATACAAACATACATTAACACACATATGTGTATGTGTTCGGGTGTGTGTATGTACAAAATACATAAACACACATAGGTGTATGTGTGAGCGAAACCTGCTGCCACTGTTGCTTCAGTCAAGACAGACAATCATGCAGGGTCTCACAGACAAAACAATACAAATCCACACAAATCAGTACAGCCAAGCATTCCACACTTTCATATACTCTCAAATCAACTAGGTGCCATCTCCACAATGAAGACACGCTGCAAGAGATTTCGAACACACTCTGTTTCCGCCTTCCGTGAAGAGTCCACACTCTCCTAGACTGCAGTCCCTCTATCTCTGGATTGAACCACCCCCTCCCCCCCCCCACACACACACACACCTGTATCGCTGTCTACCTGTTACTCGTTTGTTGTTTGCATTTATCTTATTTCCCTAAATTTGGCTTTTATTGGGTGGGGTTTTTGTGTGTGTGTGCTGTAAATTGAGGTGGAAAATCTTGGGTGTTCGTTCACTTGTGAACTTTTATCTTGTTCCAAACCTTGTGCTTTGCATCCACATCCGTTTAACATATTTTTTTTTTAAATTTTATTTATTTATATATTTTTATTAATTTACTCGTGTGTGTGTGTGTGTGTGTGTGTGTGTGTGTGTGTGTGTGAAGACTGTTATTCCTATACTCTCAAGCAAATGCACTCCGTTTTCAAACGAAGCACTCTTAATTAGTCGCCTTTTACGACACGCTTCTTAGGGGCAGCTGGTCTATTCTCCCCCCCCCCCCTCTCCCCGCCCCTTCTTTCTAGAATGGAGCACAGGAACCTACACCAGGAGTAATGTACTCTAACAGAGCCGTAACATTTGCCCTGGCTCTCTAATTTCAGTCAGCATCACTTTTCTCATTCCTTGTCTTTTCAGAACTTCTGTATTTGTGTCCATGAAATACGACATAGTCTGCTGTCCATTAACATTTCTAGACATTCTTGTCCAGTTGTGTGTTCATTGTCCAGTTGTGTGTTCATTGTCCAGTTGTGTGTTCATTGTCCAGTTGTGTGTTCATTGTCCAGTTGTGTGTTCATTGTCCAGTTGTGTGTTCATTGTCCAGTTGTGTGTTCATTGTCCAGGCTTCTGCATCCTCAAACAGAACATGTCAAATGGTGAGCGCATGCAAGCCTGTTATCTACAACACAACTTTATCAGTAAAGTCACACTTTTACAACAGCTTCGGGAAATAGTAAGCCACACTTACATAATCATATCACTGGGGAATTGGCAGGCCACACTTACATCATCATATCACTGGGGAATTGGCAAGCTACACTTACATCATCATATCACCGGGGAATTGGCAAGCCACACTTACATCATCATATCACTGGGGAATTGGCAAGCCACACTTACATCATCATATCACTGGGGAATTGGCTGGCACACTTACATCATCATCATATCACTGGAGAATTGGCAAGCCACACTTACATCATCATATCACTGGGGAATTGGCAAGCCACACTTACATCATCATATCACTGGGGAATTGGCAAGCCACACTTACATCATCATCATATCACTGGGGAATTGGCAAGCCACACTTACATCATCACATCACTGGGGAATTGGCAAGCCACACTTACATCATTCATATCACTAGGGAATTGGCAAGCCACACTTACATCATCATATCACTGGGGAATTGGCAAGCCACACTTACATCATCATCATATCACTGGGGAATTGGCAAGCCACACTTACATCATCATATCACTGGGGAATTGGCAAGCCACACTTACATCATCATCATATCACTGGGGAATTGGCAAGCCACACTTACATCATCATATCACTGGGGAATCGGCAAGCCACACTTACATCATCATATCACTGGGGAATTGGCAAGCCACACTTACATCATCATATCACTGGGGAATTGGCAAGCCACACTTACATCATCACATAACTGGGGAATTAGCAAGCCACACTTACATCATCATATCACTGGGGAATTGGCAAGCCACACTTACATCATCATCATATCACTGGGGAATTGGCAAGCCACACTTACATCATCATATCACTGGGGAATTGGCAAGCCACACTTACATCATCATATCACTGGGGAATTGGCAAGCCAAGCTTACATCATCATATCACTGGGGAATTGGCAAGCCACACTTACATCATCATATCACTGGTGAATTGGCAAGCCACACTTACATCATCATATCACTGGTGAATTAGCAAGCCACACTTACATCATCATATCACTGGTGAATTGGCAAGCCACACTTACATCATCATCATATCACTGGGGAATTGGCAAGCCACACTTACATGATCACATCACTGGGGCACTGGCAAGCCACACTTACATCATTCATATCACTAGGGAATTGGCAAGCCACACTTACATCATCATATCACTGGGGAATTGGCAAGCCACACTTACAACATCACATCACTGGTGAATTGGCAAGCCACACTTACATCATCATATCACTGGTGAATTAGCAAGCCACACTTACATCATCATATCATTGGTGAATTGGCAAGCCACACTTACATCATCATCATATCACTGGGGAATTGGCAAGCCACACTTACATCATCACATCACTGGGGCACTGGCAAGCCACACTTACATCATTCATATCACTAGGGAATTGGCAAGCCACACTTACATCATCATATCACTGGGGAATTGGCAAGCCACACTTACATCATCACATCACTGGGGAATTGGCAAGCCACACTTACATCATCACATCACTGGGGAATTGGCAAGCCACACTTACATCATCATATCACTGGGGAATTGGCAAGCCACACTTACATCATCATATCACTGGGGAATTGGCTGGCACACTTACATCATCATCATATCACTGGAGAATTGGCAAGCCACACTTACATCATCATATCACTGGGGAATTGGCAAGCCACACTTACATCATCATATCACTGGGGAATTGGCAAGCCACACTTACATCATCATCATATCACTGGGGAATTGGCAAGCCACACTTACATCATCACATCACTGGGGAATTGGCAAGCCACACTTACATCATTCATATCACTAGGGAATTGGCAAGCCACACTTACATCATCATATCACTGGGGAATTGGCAAGCCACACTTACATCATCATCATATCACTGGGGAATTGGCAAGCCACACTTACATCATCATATCACTGGGGAATTGGCAAGCCACACTTACATCATCATCATATCACTGGGGAATTGGCAAGCC